ATATCCCGACTGCTGAACTTGGACACTCCGCACCAAGAAGTTTTACACAAACGCACGAAGAGAAATTTTTTTTGCCTGGATTCGGGCCTTAGAGTCGCCCGCGACCATGTAAAACAACATCGCCGCAAGAGAATGTTACTATTCGCATGGGTCCCACGTGAACTCTAAAACCAATGAACAATGATTTAGGGGTCAAAACCTGGCCAGGTAAAAGCCACAGCAACGGTAAAGTCGTATCAATGGTCCGGAACAACTTAGCCGATATGACGAATAGTTCGACAGGGCACTGTTACTCCGGTTTCTTTCTGGCCAAGCTTATTGGTGTTCTCATTATCACGTCCACTCCCTATCCGTATGGAGGAGTTGGAAGAAGCGGTGGCCCGGGTAATGTTGTCCAAATACCAGCCAAGGGTCCAGTCCCCGTACTGCAGGCCTAGGAGACAAAGCGGATCGATGCCTGGATATCTGGCACATCCGCCAGAGTGGGCATTGGATACCGAATGGCCGGGACAACTCTGCGAGTGCATTAGCATGGCTTTAGCGTGTGATAAGAACCACCGATTCCCTTCTGGATTGCAAGCAATCTTCTTGAAATTTTCTGTCATTGGCAGTCGGATATGGTCCACAACCGCAGCGTAGCTTGTTGTTCTGAGGTGATGCGCATCGGAATTGAGTCGGGATGTAAGACGGTGCCCGACTTGCGACCACACTGTATGCATTTTCATGGATTATCTCCGCGAAGCTACCCTTATCTAGGCCAGGGTGCGCATCAAACGGGTGCTACACTTAACTGTTCAAGGGCTAGCATCATGATAAAGACATGGGGAAAAGTTGATAAATTCAGATAAGGTAGTCCTCCGGATTGCCGATGATGGAGCATTTAATAGGACCCACGAAGCCGACTTTCCGCATGTGTGGTCCCAGGAGCGTCTGCATCAAATCACGAAAACTCGACTATCAAGATGACTACCCACGAAGTCGATGCTGGCCACGCTTTACCTTCCGGGGTGAACGACGATAAAATCAGACCGCCTTCGGTCCACAACGAGATATCCTCACTCAAAGAACAGGCTTTGACGACGCACGAAGTCTTCAGGGATACGGAAGATGGCGTCCAGTTTCGCACAGTCACTTGGCAGAGTGCCACGATTATGTTCCTCAAGATCCAGTTCGCCATGAGCATCTTGAGCGTCCCCGGAGCCTTCGCCACCCTTGGTGCCGTAGGCGGTGCGCTTTCTCTTGTTGGGTGGCACGTTCTCAATACTTGTCAGTCTTTTCGCACTCGAAGACAGCGACAACAATACTGATGAGATATCTAGACACTGCAGTCATCCTTGGCGAGTTCCGTAATCGTCATCCCGAATGCCATAGTGAGTCGGGTCTTGCCTGCACCCCAACATGAAGACATACTGATGGCTGCAATTAGCTTTGGCTGACATGTGCGGTCGCCTCTGGGGTCGCGTCGGAAAGGAACTTGTCGGGTTGCAGATCCTCATTGCCCAAGTCCTCATTTCTGCAGCGGGTATTGTCTCTATCTCGACCGCGTTCAATGCTCTCTCCAATCACGGAGCATGCACCGTCATCTTCACCTTGGTTGGTGCGATCCTCATCACCATGTTCTCCGCAGTGCGCACATTCAGCCGCCTAGGTTGGCTCACCTGGTTCGGATTCGCCACCTTCTTCATCGCCGTCTTTATCTTCGTTGTTGCTGTCACCCAACAAGATCGACCTGCTGTCGCCCCTCCAGGTGACTTCGACCTCGGCTGGACGGCGATTGCCCACCCAACGTTTGTTGCTGGTATCACCGCCAGCGCAAACATCTTTATCAGCAACAGTGGCTCCTCCATGTATCTCCCAATCATCTCGGAGATGCGTCGGCCGGATCAGTACAGAAAGGCTGCTTTGGTGACCGGTGTTCTCGTTTTGGCGATGTATCTTTCATTTTCACTGGTTATTTACCGGTGGTGTGGTGTTTGGCTCGCGACTCCTGCTTTTGGAAGCGCTGGTCCTTTGTTCAAGAAGATATCGTATGGTGTTGCGCTTCCTGGTCTGATTATCGGTGTCGGTATTTACCAACATGTGGCGGCGAAATACCTCTTTGTGCGCATCCTGAGAGATTCGCAACATCTACAGGCAAACACCGTCATTCACTGGACAACCTGGATTGGCAGCAACATGACGCTCGGTATCCTGGCTTTCATCGTGGCAGAAGCCGTCCCCATCCTCAACTATCTTCTCGGCCTCGCGGGCGCTCTTTGCTTTGCTCCCTTCAGTCTCATCTTCCCAGCACTGTTGTGGATGCAGGACTTTTCGTCGTACAGAAAGGGAGGTGCATCAAAGAAAGCAATGTACGGGTTTCACGTTTTCGTCGTCCTTGTGGGCCTGTTCATGGTAGTCGCCGGAACGTAAGTATATCATATTCCTTTCCTGAAGAACGAAAACTGAGTAGGCAACAGATACAGTGTAGCCGTGTCCATCAAGGACGCGTATGCATCGGGGTTGATTTCGAAAGTTTTCAACTGCGCCGACAACTCCGGCACAATCTCCTGATTCGAACACCTTGCGAACCAGGTACGCGGGAAAGGATCTCAACTGTCTCGCAAAATTTCGTGTCTAGAGTAAGTTTAGCGACGGCTGTCATTACCGCAGTGAGTTAGAGTCAATATGAGAAATGTTTGCTTTTCTGGCAGAATCCCATGACCATGGCTCGGGCAGGATGTGCCTACTTCCGCGAGTCCGCAAAGTGAAGCGCACCCTTGGGAAAAGCAACTTCCCCCCTTGCCAGGCAAAAGGAAGTCAGGCAGGCGGTGTGGCCCAATCCTTGCATCGTGAACCCAATCGCCCTGGATCTCGACCAACAGATGTCATCAATATTTGTTTCTGTCACATCCCTGGGGCCGGCAGTCACGTTCGGCGGTCGGGGCCAAAAATGACAATTGTTTGCTCGCCCAACAGGCCTTGTTCACGCACTTTCGGCGTTCGGACCTCAGCATTGGAGGCAAACATAAGAACGATGATATTCCACCCTTTCTGAACAGCAATAATTATTATTTTCTGTAAACTTTTCGATCAAGATCAATCACACTTTACTGCAACAATGGGTTCCTTAGCTGTGCAGTCGCACTTTTCCAGCCTGATTGAGGCTCCTTACGATGAAGCATTCGTTGTCATGCAGTCAGTTGCAGCAGACCCCACGCCTGATAAGGTCAACCTCGGTCTTGGCGTCTACAGGGACGACGATGCACAGCCTTGGACATTACCGTCCGTCAAAAAGGTGGCGCATCACCCAAAACGATCAAACGTTGCTGTTGAGCCTCATGCTAACCCCAATCTACTCGACGTATAGGCCCAAGCCCAGATCCAAGACAACCACGATTATCTACCCGTTGCCGGACTTCCAACATTCATCGAAGCTGCTAGAAAACTCCTCCTTGGAGATGTCCTTGAGGCTGTCAAGAGTCGCTTGACCACCGTACAGACCATTGCTGGGTCCGGGGCCATTCACATGGGAGCCTTGTTCTTAGACAAGGCAGTCAGACCTGAGAACGTCTGGATCTCAGATCCATCCTGGGCAAGCCATGAGCAAATCTGGGAGAATGCTTCACCAAAGACTCAACGCCGATTCTATCCATACTTTAATCACAAGACCAAGTCGCTCGATCTGGAAGGTATGGTGAGGACGCTTAGACGAGACGCACAACCGGGCGACATCATTATTCTGCAAGCCTGCGCCCATAACCCGACGGGTTGCGACCCAGCACAGAAGGAATGGAACATCATTGCCGACATTTGCGAAGAGCTCGGCATCATTCCATTCATGGACATTGCCTAGTGAGTAGTGTCCTACTTTTGATCCGACTTCAGCCTTAAACGTTACTGACTAGCACTCTCTAGTCAAGGATTTGCATCTGGCGATGATCACCACGACGCCTGGGCCGTCCGTCACTTCGTCGGCAGAGGAACGATGGAAGTCTTGGTCGCTCAGTCATTCTCTAAGAGCTTCGGTCTCTACGGCCACCGAGTTGGCGCTCTCCACATCCTCGCTCATGACTCTGCCGCGGTACCTGCCATCAAGTCTAACCTGCTCCAATTTATCGGCTCTGAATACTTGACTCCCTCAGCATGGGGTGCACGCATTGTATCAACAATTCTCAACGATCCTGAACTCACAAAGGAGTGGCGCCAGGACTTGAGGAAGATGAATGCTCGCGTCAAGAGCATGCGAGCGTTTCTGTTCGTCGAGCTCACGAAGCGAGGCACACCTGGCTCTTGGAGACATATCATCGATCAGATCGGCATGTTCTCCTACACTGGTCTCACAGCTTCTCAAGTCAAGACGATGAGGGAGAAACACCACATCTACCTCTTGTCAACAGGAAGAGCGTCCATATCGGGATGTAAGTTCGAGCTCAATATTGTCTCCGTTGATGAATCCCGTACTAATTTAGTCAACAGTGAATAGCAAGAATGTGTTCAGGGTTGCAGAGGCAATCGACCAAGTTGTACGAGGGGATGCTGGCGTTTGAGAGTTTGAGAATATCCATCTGATTTGAGTCTGCTTAAGCGTTTATACACCATTGTAGTTGGGTTGGCCATTTGTAACACTGCACATACTTTAGTTTTGATCCGTAACATACCTAGCAGAAGCTGGAATTAAGCGTTCGGTATGCACATTTCAGTACTTTTGGGTAAATCCCTTCGTCACAACCCTAGGTGTCCCAGGCCGCCTCGTTATGTTCAGAGCCATTATCTTCATCAGCTGATCGTAATTTTGATGAGACTTTAGACATATTACAGGCAGGATGAAAAGACCAAACATCGGTCACCATGAACGTTGAATAAAGAACTCATTATTGAGAGGCGGTCAAGTCTATGGCTATCAAGTTGGGAGAAGATGTCTTTTTCATGCCTCAGTTACTACATGACTCTAAGTCGCTGTGACACCTAGGATTTGTCTCCCAGGCTTGTTCCATTGCGAAAAAGCCGGCGTCCGAGACCGATTAGAAGCTGGGGTCATCGCAGCCACCGAGACTGAAATTAATGAAGTTGAGAGGGCATCCAGCATCAACCGAATCTCTGCACGCCTGGCTCTTGCAGCTGTTTTGCTTGAACTTCTCGCGGGCGTTGTTTTGCTACGCTCGCGTTAGCTTTGATACAAACATCGACTTTACGGTTCTCGTCGCAATTAGGATGCTACTCACGGGGGCTGCGGCCACGAGGGTGCTCATGGTGAAAAGAGCGATGCAAACGGAGGAGATGCTGAACTGCATTATGAAAAGTTTTGGCGGTTAATTAGGAACTGAAAATTGAGTCGACCGGCAACAGATGAATTGAATAGAGGGCTGCGAGAGTACTGATTTGATCGCGAACTGAAGTGATGATCAACCGATGATGTGTGTCGAATCTCGAGTCTAATATACAAGCCAATCCCACCGGCGAGCATCAAGCTTGGCTTCAAGCTTACCTTCTGTTCCAATGTGTGATCGACGTTGGTGACTCGAAACGTCGCAGGTGTCCGGACTGATTATTATGCTTAATATGCCTATGGATGTAATGTCGACCTATTGCGCTCACGTCCTCTTGACACCAAACATGAACTGCGACTTCAGCTGATCCATGACCGATGCCATGCGTCTGACTTGGGCTCTCTGCTAATGAACTCATCTTTCAGTTTTGTTCTTGTAGGGCAATTGGGGCAATTGCGGAGTTTGGCAATGCACGGGTCACGCGTCAAACGCCTCAAGGCCGCACGCAGTGAGACTGGCTTGATGGGAAGTGATGACAGTGGAAGGAACAACCAATTGTGCGTTCACAGACGTTAACATGGCTCTAAAAAACTCACTTAGCACGAGAATGGAACTCGCAATAAAATTCCACACTCGGGTAGTCCCTGTCTCTCAGCTTCGATTGTCGAGCGTCTTGGAATTTAGATGACAGCGGCCGGGCCCTGGCATTGGCACCTGTGCAAGGACTTGACAGCTGAGATTTGCTCGGTATAGCCGAACTACTATTGCAGTTTCAGAGGTGCGACTCGTTGAACCAGGATGCTTATAGCGTGTGGTCGCCGACTGAGCGTCCCAAGGAGGCATAGATCCAGGATCTTTGCGACTTGTGCGGGGAATGCAAAGCTGGGCAGTCCCAGGAGGTGGTAATAGGGGCCTCCCCACAAGTTGAGACTAACTTTCGAAACACGTTGTTGTCTCCCAGAATCTGTATAGATGTGACGGTCGCAATGTGTGTGGAAAATTATTGGAAGAATACAGGGCAAATAGGGTCGGTCGGGGGTACCTATAGCTCTGCGTGCCAGACAGGAGACCAGTCTACATACAGTGTTCCCTGAGCAGAGAAGCAGGCCCTCTCTGTAGCTCAGGCTCTGATGGCCTGAACTTTGGCTATTATGGAGGCGACGAGACTGAGCAAAGACATGTCATGGTTTCACACAGGATAGGTGGCACTGAAGCAACAGCAAGTTTCTGTAGTGACGGTAATCAGAGAACTCGTGATTAAACAAGAGAAATCAACATGCATTTTTAAAGACATCTCGTCTACAGTTTGCATTGGTCAAGAAGTTGGAGGTGCCACAAATTAAGATCAACAGCGCGATCAAACTATTGTAAGTAAAGACTAATTCCACAGAGCAGGAAAACGGACTCTCCAAACCTCGATCACGCGACACAGATGAGACACAAAAAGTTCCCACTCGCTGTCTCGGCTCGAGCTACTTGCTCACAGTTTCAGCATGTTATGATCGCCTCAGTCGTTTTGGAAATCTTTCCAGCTCAGATCCTCGTCCGGGATGACGAGTTATCTCAGAAGCGATCATCTGGGCTAGGGGTTCACTGACATGCGCGGGGCAGCCCTGGAGTATAGCCGACTTCAGCTCGCTCAGGTCTTCTTCCCGGCCGCGGCAGTGCTGTATGAGCTTCTCCAATACTGACATGGTAAACGTAGCTCTCGGCGGGTCAGCTGCCAATCTTGCCGTGAGGCCCTTCAGCTCGTTGCAAAATGACGCTAGAATCGACTCTTCTGGGTGTCTTCTCGCTAAGTTCCCAAAGGCAGCTTCTACAGTTGACCCAACCTGCCTGATCAGCTCGGGCACACCCAGACTAGCGCCTGCTCGCAGAAATGCATCTAGAGTTCTTGGATAGTCTTCGAAACATTCTTCGTCCAGGAACTTGGACAAGGAGATATCCAAGAAGTGTGAGAAGACGGTGCGTGCTCCTGGGCGGTCCAGCAGAGGCTTGTTGGGGTCCGCGCCGTGAGACAGCAAGCGGCTAAAGGTGGCATTCTTCAGGGAGTCGTTCCATCGTTTTGCAGGGAACATGCACGGCCCTGACAGCATGTTGAAGACAGACATGGTGCTGCGAGAGAACGCAACCCATGGCGATGGTGCATCAAGATCGCCCACAATGCCCAGTTCTCTCGGAGTTGAGTTTGGATCTTCTCCACGGCGAAGTATGATCTCGAGAACTTCCATTGCAGGCGCAGCACTTTCGCCACTGCTGCGAGACATGGGCATAAGGGCTGCGTACAAGGGCGACTCATCGAAGACATCGAAGAAATCCGGCATCTGTCGAGTCTTCTTTGCCAAGTAAGGTGCCAGATCATGTCGGAGGAGCTCTTCGCGGAACAGGATTCTCGGATCGTACCCGCCAGAGTTAACCCCTCTAACAGTCAGCTGACCGAGCCTGGCCATGTTCACGATGGCTGCTTCGTACTCATCCAAGAGCTTTTCGACCTGCCGACTCTGGCTGGAACCAGGTTGTTCTGTCTGCTTCAACGCTTCAGACGCGTAAAGCAGGGCTTGGTTCAGATGCGCAACGAATGGACCGCTATTCAACCCTCGCCCCTGCCTGATAATGCCTGCGACAAGCGAATTATCGTGGCGTGTGGCCTTAAGGAATCCGAGATATGCAGTAGCAATGGAGATGAAGCCATTATAGCCAGCCGGGAGCTTTCCCTGGAGGTACTCGCCGATGTCTTTTGTTGAGACGAAGTCCTTCACGGTCCTGTGAAGAAACTCGACCCGGTTGTTGACAAGCTTGAGTAGTCCCTTTGTCTTCTCATTGATGCTGTTACTGGACTTTTCTCTCCGTAGAACAACATTTTGGTCGGGGTTGAGTGCTTTCGTCTCTCCAGAAGGAGACCTGACATCCTCTAGTTCTCTTTCCAATTGCCAGTAAATGTCGACATGAAGCGGCTCCAGTGCATGTATAGCGCCTAGAAGAATCCCCGCCATTACGCAATGATCAGCGGGATTCACGCTGTCCAACATATGCTGGAATAGATGATCCAAGTCTGAGGGTAGTCGGCTGAAGCGTGCCGCCAGATTTTCCAACCTCTCGCCATTCGAAAGACCTTCTTGTAAAGATCGCGTTACAAAGAAAGCCCAGAGAAATACACCATCGGCTTGAGCCACGATTCGATCGGCGAGCTCAGCCTGCTTCAAGGAAGCATTTGCAGACATGTCGAGACTCCAGCGGGGATCAGACCTCAGCTGATCATACACGAACTTTCGAATATCGTCCTTTGTCAGCTCATGAATATCAAGGCTTTCTTGGCCCTCTTGGCCAAAGCTCCTCTCAAAGACGGGCCACCGACGGCTGGACAAACACATCTTGATATGCGGAGACTTAGCCATGTCAAGAAGAACTTGGCAGAGTTCAGCATGATTGCTGTCGTACTCATCAAGCCCGTCAATGAAGAAACATATCTTCAGAGGGACGTGATCAGCTGTTGATAACGATCGCAACGCAGCAGCCAGCTCGAACACAGACCAGGGTTCAGCAGCGGTCTGCCATCTTCCAGCCTTGGCTGCCGCCCATCGATGTGGGGAGGCGATGGATACAACGTCTGGGTGTCCATGTAGCAAGTCGTAGAGTAGAGACTGGAGAAGCCCCTGCCATGATTTCTGGATCGGAGTACCCGCGATCCAAAAACAATGTGACGCAACAGCCAGTGAGCTAGATGAGCCTGCCCAGTGTTCCAGTAATTCTCTCGTCCGAGGATGGTTGGCAATGAACTTCATGAAAGTGGACTTGCCAGATCCGGGCTTGCCTGAGACCCAAAAGGTTCCACCTCCGGAGACAAACCAATCTGACAATCGAGAGTCAAATGCCCACTGGAATGTATCCTGATGAGCTTTCGGGATAGAATCAAGGCGAGCAGGTCGACTGGTGTAATTCAGACTCGATACAATCGTGTCGGCGAGTAAAGTATGTTCTGACTTGGTCAGTCTCGTGAGCAAGACCTTCAACTGTTTGACGTCGGCCTCCGAGTAGCTTGCATGTGAATCCGTGAGCTGCCTATTCATTTGTGATCTCAGATCTTCCAGGTCACTCGACATAACATCAACCTGGGATTCCTGTTCTGGTCGAGCATACCGCCCCTGACTCTCCAGTACTTTCAAGGATTGGCTTAATTGGGATAGACGAGAGCTATGATACGAAGTCAGATAGTATCATGATGTGGTCTTCGCACTACGTACTTGAGTAGACCAGTGACTTGGCGTGTCACCGTAGTGTTGAGGCGATCAATTTCACGCTCGTAGTACGCGTTATCCCGCTGAGGCAATAGGGAGTCCCGCGTGTCTGGCTCGGCTGTTGTACTCTTGGAAGCCCGTCGTAAGTTGAACTCCATGTTCTCCAAAAGCGTGATGCAAGCATCTCGAGAGGAAGACATATCCTGTAGCGGAAGTGAAGTGTCCAAAAGCCTGGAATCACTCCCCGAGAGCATCTGTTTCTCTGATAGAGCGAGTTTCAACCTTGTGACAGTGCCCAAGTCGACATTTTCATTGTTGCGACTTCGGCTCTCAGTAAATTGGGAGGCCGAGATGATCGCCGAAATGCATCTTGTTGCATTCACAATAAGGCCTACGGTATCGAGGCTTATGATCGCATCCATGACAGCGACGTGAGGTAGAACACGTTCGCGGTTAGATGTGTGGTGAAGAAGATGTTGCCTAGTAGAATTTTTGACACGACATCATGTGCGGGGTCAAGTGAGAAAGGTCAAGAAGAAAATATTGCCTCAATGTCATGACTGATAAGAAACTGGGCTCGTCCAGAGAGCGACTGGGAGGCACGTACGTAGAAACACATATTAAGGTAGTATTTTCATGGCCCCTTCCCTGCAGGACAGAGGCGTAGCAAACTCACCTTACCCACGTGTGGGGGTGATAATCTTTTGCCTCACGGCCGATTGATAACGCGAAACTGGCCAAACTGGAAGCCGTATTTGGCGCTCACGGGGCTTGGCATCATCGAGCGCAGATTGAGGTCCGTACATGTGAATGATGCGATTACCTTAAGTACAAAGAGTACTTGGTCATAGGAGGACTTGGAGCCATGACAGAGACGAAGTGCGATGAAGCGAAACTTCCCTTTGCACCGTTGCAGTTGACGATTCTCCATTCGCTGGACCATAGTAAGATCTTAGCGCTGAGAAAAGTCTGACAGCAAACACTGTGGTGCGAAACGTCTAGTTTCTGGTCAAATGTCCGCCCAAACCCTGGCGAGCTTACAAGGGTGATCGTCAAAGTCCCCTTTAATATTATTAGTCATTCGTAAAACTGTCCAATAATGAGAAGAGATGGATTGTTGGCTGGTAAGCATGACCACTCAAGTGGCCGGGAGGTGCAGTGATAAGCACCTTAATTTGTGAGATTCCGTCTGACAGAGAGTGGGTGTCCTCCGCCTGCTGTGCCTCAGGGCCGTATCGCTTGCGCAATAAAGAGAAATCGGCCACTCAGCTTGGCAACACCAACGTAGCCATCATGAAAGTACTTTTGTCACCTAGCCTGTTTCAAGCCGTCAGCCGAGGAGCGGGCTTTCGGACCTTGATTGCATAAATACAAGCTGGTCCCTCGTTCTTGTCAGTGGAGTTTCCAGAAAGGTAGGACAATATTCGACCATCACAACTTCATATCCTTTGTGTACAACTGGAACATTGTTGAGCTGTGAGATATCAGACTGATATAGCGAAAATCAGCGATCATGTCTCTTGCCGGAATGCGCAATCTGCTCTCTCAGTGGTTTCCTCCACAGCCAACCTACATCGAGCAACACGTCCCATCTCAGAAAGGGAAAGTGTTCATCGTCACAGGCGCCAACCACGGTATCGGGTTTGAGCTTGTCAAGATTCTATATGCAACTGGGGCTAGAATATACATGGCATCGCGATCCAAGGTGAGTCTCATACTCTCATCATAATGGCAATATGATAGACCTCTGAGCTTCGGATAATTGCCAACTTCCGTGAGACCTGCGTGCCATCTTGCCTCGAGTGTCTTCAACTATTCTTTTGCGATTAAGGCGGATGTATGAGTTTTGTAACCGTTCGAAGACTGACCAGACCTACCACTGATATAGGAACGTGCCGAGAAAGCGATAGAGACCATCACAACCGCCACACCAGCACCCGAAACCCCCGGTACCATAGTCTTCCTTCCCTTTGATCTGAACGATCTGGACAGCGTCAAAGCAGCCGCCGCCATCTTTGCGCAACAAGAGCCAAAGCTCCATGTTCTTTGGAACAATGCTGGTTCAGGCGCTTATAGAATTGAAGAAGGCGCCAAAACGAAGCAAGGATTCGAGCCAATGGTTGGCATGCACTGCATTGCTGCGCAACTGTTTACCCACCTCCTCCTTCCCCGACTCCGAGCAGCCGCGGGAGACGCTCCGAAAAGCTCGGTGCGTGTTGTTTGGACCGCGAGTTTCATGGCGGAACTGTCGACTGGCGACAATGGCATCGACTTTGACCATCTCGTAGAGGGTACGCCTGATCGTGCGCTGAACTATGCCGTCTCCAAGTTTGGTAACTGGCTTCTCGGCCGCGAGATGGCCTCCCGTTATGGTTCTGACAATATTGTCAGCGTCGTTCAGAACCCTGGTAACTTGAAAGCTGGCGCCTATGACGGGGTCCCGGCGTTTTCAATGCTCTTTATCACTCCCTTCCTGTACGAGACAAAATTTGGTGCGTACACTGAGCTGTACGCAGGCCTATCCCCCGATATCTCGCTTGATAATAATGGCGCGTACGTTATCCCCTGGGGCCGCATTCGCATCGACGAAGATATTCCGAGGAAGGATATCGTGAAGGCCTTGAAGCCGGAGGCGGAAGGGGGCCTTGGTTATACGACCAAGTTCTGGGAGTGGTGCGAGGAACAATGGAAGCCCTTCGTCTGAAACACGCGATTTTTGATTCTTGCTCTGAGGCTCTTACTCGGACAACTCAGGCTGAAGGGGAAGAGACATAGAGATTAGTCCTTGTGTTTGACCTAGCTCTACCATCTCAAAATGCATAATATCAACGCCATGAGACGTGTATTGATAACGCCCTACTTGTCTCAGCATATGGTGAAACATTGCTCGAAATGAAATTTGGCTAACAACAAGCTTCGGCATGTCACAATGAATTCCAGGGTCGCAGACCCGACCTGCATAGTAGTGGAGCGACGTCGGGTCCGGACCCGGCCTGGCGGATAGGCGGAGTTACGTGTTGTCCAGTTGAGGAGCCTGAGGCAATATTGGGTCGGTATCTGCACTCTCAGAAGAATTAATGGCACTGTCGGTCAAGGTCTCAAAACACTTGGATTATGAAGTATCAGGGTATCTATCTCGGCCGCAGCCAATTCATTATACATAAAATACATTGGAAGAGTTTAGGCGGCAATATCCTTGCCCTTCTCCTCAACCTCGAGTTCGCGAGTGGGCTGTTGCGCCTTGCTGCCCCAGCGACCCATGAAGAAGTTGCCGAAAGCTTGGGCATTGTTTCTCATGTTCATGGCGACGATCTCGCTGGTCGGCTTCTCGAAAAGACGATCAATATCCTCGAGTGTCTTGTCCTTGGTCTCGGGCATGAAGATCATCTATGGATTGTTAGTCTGCGTTATGATTTCACATGGAAATGAAAGTATTTACCTGGTAGAACCATCCCAAGATGGCAATGCCTCCATAGAAGCCGAGAGTGAGACCAGTACGGGTCATGGCCTCCTGCATGGCAGAGAAGTTGTAGGTGACAATGAAGGAGGACAGGAAAAGCAGACCAGACGAGGTGGTCATGCCGTAGGATCGGAGGTAGGTGGGGTAGACCTCAGAAGGAACGACCCAAGTGAGACAAGCGTAGCAGCCAAAGAAGCCCATGTACAGGGCCAAACCGATGAGGTAGCAGGCAACGGCACCGGTGGTATTGGTATCAGTAGGAATCTGATAGCTGGCGCCAATGATCACCAAGCCCACGAAGAAACCGGGAAGCATAGTGTTGGCCCAGAAGCGACGACCGAACTTCTCCATGTAGAAGCAGGCGGGGATGGTACCGATGAGCAGAGAGCCACCACCGACAAGAGACATGTAGGTAGCCTTCTCGTCGTTGAAACCAATCTGCTGCATGAGGATGGACATGTAGTACATGATGGCGTTGACACCAGTAAGCTGGCCAAGAAGAATCATGATGTTGGCGTAGACCAGAGCACGGCGGGCGCGGGGAACGGTGATGAAATCCATCCAGGGGAAGCGCTTGTTCTTGGCACCCTCGGAAACCTGCTGCTTCTCATCGACGACGGAGACCTTCATGACGAAGAACTCTTCTCTGGCCTCAGGAGTAGAAGTGCCACGGATACGCTTCCACACCTTGTAGGCTTCGAGCGTCTTGCCCTTGTGCATCAGATAACGAGGGGACTCAGGCAGGAAGAGCATGCCGGCAAACATGATGGTGGAGAAGAGAAGGGATGATCCGAGAATCCAGCGCCAGTTGCCAGGCACGTGGATGAAGATGGCGGCGACGGCGTAGCCAAGAACTTCACCGAGAGCGATGTTGAGCTGGTATAGGGAGACGACGTTACCACGGATGCGGCGTTCAGCGGTCTCGGCAACGTAGACAGGGACGGTACCACCCTCGAGACCGACACCCATGCCAAGGATAACACGGGCAGAAACGATCATGCCTTTAGGATAAGTTAGCTAGGCCCGGCAGGCAGAAGTGGAATGGTATGTCAATTGACTCACCAAAGTTCTGTGCGCCGGCGCAAAGTGCGCCACCAATAGTGTAAAGGACGCAAGAAATGATGATGGACATTTTTCGGCCGAGGTATTCGTTCGAGGGACTAAGGATGATGGCACCACCGACGGCACCGAGAGGCATGGCAGAGTTGACGAGAGAGTTTTGGCGGGTCGTGAGACCAAGGTCACCGGGGAGGAAGAGGTTGGCACCAGAGATGAGAGACTGATCGAGACCGGAGAGAAGGCCACCCATTGAGGCGAAGGCTACAATGAGCCAGGTGAAGTACTTGGTGTTCGTGAACTCCAGTTGGAAAAAGCCCTTCTTCAAACCACCAGCAGCCTCCAACTCCCGCTCCATGCTGTCGATGAAGGCATCGACCTCCCAACCACCAGCCGCAGCGATGGCGGCAGCATCCTTCTCGTTCACACCAGGAAGGGCGTTGGCGAGGTTCTCGACGTGAGCCTCATTTTGACTGTCCGGGTTGTGTTTGCCCGAAATCTTCGGGGCAAGATTGACTCCGTGCATGTTGTTGGGGGTTTCCGCGCTGCCGCGAGCCAAGACCTCGTCTAAACAGAGATTGGCCCAAAAGGGTAATAGTAGATCTGATTAAGGCTGATGCTAAGAAATGCGGCTCTGATGGTCCGGAGGGAAAAAGACACCTGCCAAGGAAAGACAACTAACAACAGAGACTGGGACGAGCCGGGCTTTTAATCACCCTTCACACTTCTTACCACTACTCACGGCGACACACTAGTAGATCAACAATAAGAGCGGCCAATATTCCAAGGCAGCCAACCCGAAGACGGCATTGATGGATTGTGGATTCCTCGCCCGACTCTCGACGTGACCATCTGTCTAACCTCGACACCAACATCGTCATCCGAAATTTTTGTCTGGTGTTAGTGTGGAGACCTGGAGAGAAACGGCCGAAGTAGGAGCGACCTCTTGTCCGCACTTCAGGCCTCTTCTCCAGTGGAGAGACCCCAGGAACACGGAACACGCACTTGGAGAACATTAAGCAGGCTGGGGGAGAGGCCGGAGGGAGGGTGGAGGGCAGCTGTTGCGGGCGCTGGGCTCTATTGCCCTTGGGGCTCCAGACTTTCCTCATACACAATCTGCAGAGCGTGACCATGGGGCGACGCGGAGCCCGGGGTCCCAGTTGTCTGTTCTGGCCCCCATTTCTGGCAGGCAAAAAAGCAGGCCAAAGGACTCGCGGAGATCAGGCCGCCACGACCGTTCTTCTTCCCATCTGACTCGCGACTCCACATCCGCGCAGGATAGCGTTTGTGCGAGACCCGCCCGAAGGATGGGTGGTTTGACCGAAAATTCTCCCGGTACCGCGTTCTGGATCTACTCGGTGACAATCCGAAGCCCGCACCGTTCGTTCTCGTGACGACGACGGAAACGTACGGAGTCTCCGCGTGGAGAAAGCAGACTCCAGAGTCACCAACATGTTAAAATTTCTCACTCTGGGGATTGGATTGGGGAAGGTTTTCTGGGACCTTGGAGATGTGGGCTGACGTCAACCCTAGGGGGAAAAATCTAGAAGCGGCACATGGACAGTCAGACTCGTGTCGCTTGCGAGCAAGAAGTTTTCGGTGGTGCTCGGCGATGATAGCCGCCCGTTAACGACGCATGTTTCTTCTCTCTCTGGTTTTTCCTGTGTTAATAATCTTTTCCCAAATACCCATGGACAAGATCTAGCATCCCCCCGGCCTTGCTGTATCTATTACTTTACAGAGAACGTGGTCTGACACATCACCACGTGCTGGGAACATTTCTCCTTCGGGACGAGCAGATCGCCATCGTCGTGCCTGACCGCTTGGTGGCTTGTTCCTAGCTCCCGCCAGCTACAGGTCCCGGTCCGGGTGGGAAGCCGCATTCTTGGCTGATGACAAGAAATATCTGGCCGGCTTGGCGCTCCGTGAGGCGGCAGGGGAGTCTGCCAGGCCGCAGCCGCCGCACCGATCGCGCGATGCCAAGTCGGCGAGCAGCGCACTAAGGCAGGCGAAGAGGAAGAGAAACGGCTTCCGACTGGTGCTAGTCCAAAATTCGGCCTTCTAGCTCGTAGACCGGCTTAGCAAGGCCGATACGACACTCGTCTTGTTACAGATTGTCACGAAAATTCGTTCATCCCTTTTTAGCGTTGCGACAGGGCTCTCCTAGGCTTCATGTGGGGGGCAAAAGAAAAATTGGCAAGATTGCAAATATCAAGGAAACAATGCCTGAAAAACTTGATTGTAGCGCTCAAGACAAGGGTTCCAATCTGAGCGACCATGACACATTCTAGAAGTTCTCTAAATTCCGATGGATCATTAAAGTTGTCGAACCAACTGCCATCTCGTCGATTCAAATCACCATTTATGTTTTGCTGCTCATCGGCCTTTACTTAATTAGACCTCCTCTCTGGAGTTGGTTCACTGTTGTTCTTTAAAAGTCTGCCCGAGTTCGCCCGGCATTCATGCAACCCACAGAAAATCCCATCTTTTCCCCTCACAGACCATTCGAACCCCCGCGAAATGGAATGGAGCAAGCATGGCCGGGTCACATCAGCAACCTGTGGATCATTCCAATCATGTCTCATTGGCCTTTGACCCCTGCAAGGGTGTCCCGTAAGTCCGAAAGATAACTTTGACCATCAGGCCGGTTCAGCCGTTCGATCGTCACACTTCATCTATGCATGTGCGTTACCGGCGGTATGGACTTTCCTTTGTCAAAGATAAGGAGTTGCTATCTTATCGTTTTCCGCCGGACTGCGAGATTTCTTAGCACGCCAATCGTATACTGACAATGATGTTGTTGATCGGTCGCCGTTGTGGCTTCACGAGTCAGACTAGAGGGCTAGTCCTGCCGATCTTGGCGCACCTTGTCGAGCTTGCCGCCGTTGTGAGCCCGAGGAGAATGGGCTAAGATGTGTGGCACTACAGGTAGGCCCAGAAGTAAAGCCGGCGCTATGCAAGCATTCTGCAAGTCAAGGAATGCTAGATGGACACTGTATTCGTACACAATACTGAGGGATAGCTGTTAGTCTGTTCCCTTAATATCAGTATCAGTCTGGGTAGGTTATGATGTCAATGAAGCCTGTTCAAGTTGCCACAATCATCGTCGCTTTGACTTGTGAAAAACATGGCCTGCCTTCTGCCGAGCCGCCTCACCAAGTAAGTAATCGATCGAAAAGGCGGCTCATGGTCGTAGTTGTGAGACTTCGTATTGTTATCGGAAGAGCCACTTGAACTACCTCAAGAGAAGTAGCTTCCCGCAAACAGCTTCACTTTCGTCCATTTCGAAGACATCAAGGCATGTAGTGATTTTGACTTCAGAGACACAGACATTCCCCCAAACCAAAGGATCCGCTTATCTTCAAGCCAACTGCATCCGTTCGTCGGCTGGGCGAGTTCCACGCTGCAATCGCTATTTTACTACGGAGTATTGTGTATACACCAGGGTCTAAAGGAGCAGGGTGTGGATTCCAAGATCTGGTTCTGCCATGCACCCCATCAACGGCGTTCGGTTTCGACGCTTGGAATCAATCCTGAACATAGCTTTCATCTCCTTCCTGACAGCCACGGCCAGTCTCTTTTCGCTGGACGAGATACTTAGCTATCAGAGGCTTTGATCTTTCTGGACGCCGAGTTTCAGAGCGAAATTGTAGACCGGAAATATGAACAGCCCTTCAATTGCCAATGAGTGTTCAGCCGTCGTTTGTTTGTTTGTTTGTTTGTTTGTCCCATTTTACGCCGTGATGTCCTCAAGTGAGGCGAAAGGCTCAGCCGTCGACTCATGGATTTGCTGTAGACTACGCAATTCCCTCCGCCGTCAAGTCTCTCGCCAGCCTCAAGAAGTCAATATTTTCTGCGTGAACAGTTGCTTGCCGAAAGCGGTTCAATAAACGGCTGGTCAATAGTGCAATGAAGCTAAGTGATCGTTTCAAGAGAGGCTTTCTACTTCGATCATTCATCACACAGATTTACGAATAAGTTGATAGAGGCTGAAGCTAGATTTCCAAGCTAGATATGTTGCACAGAAACGCAAGCTCATCAATGATGCTCTTGCAGTCTGAAGCAAGGGAAGACACTCAAGATGCATATCTCCACTCACTTGTTTCTCCAGAAATCCTGTCTTGCTCGTCCAAATCTTTGTTCTTCTTCCAACAGTACCATTTGGTGATGAGAACGAAAATCACTGTCAACCCACATCCGGTGATGATAGCACCGCCTCCCGTCTGATAGTATGGTTCCTGGTTTCTCAGAAAGAAGTAAGGCGTAAACCAGTGAGAGACAGAAGATACACTGTTGGCAATTGCAATGAGAGCGGCTCTTTTCGTTCGTGGTCGAGGTACGACAGTTGTCTCCCAAGAAATTTGCAGCTGTTCCAGTCAATACTGGAGATTCTTCGAGAAAGAAAGAAATCCCATGAACGTACATTGAGGCCGAGGAATGGTCCGGTGACCAGCAAAATCATCGAGAAATATCTGGCACCAACGTTGAGTGTTGTGATCATCACAACGCACCCAGCCAGTGTAAACAGCATCGGCACGATAATGTGGTAGCCATGTTCAAGCATTCGACCGGACGACCAGGAAACTGCCAAAGTTACGAGAAAAGCAATAATCGGAGGTGGGGCTTGAATGAGGTACGTCTCGGTAGCGCCGAATCCGAGAGTAGCGAGGATCTAGAGAAGTCTGACGTAAGTAATGAAGTTCGACCTGTGGTGGGAGCTGACGTGGTTTTGACTGACCGATGGAAAGAAGTCTTTGTAGGACTGCGCGATTATAAGGCAGAAATGAATAGCAGAGAAAAGGTATGTGAATGGGTCTTTGAGTGCCATCCAAACTCCACCCCAGTAGTCGCCCTCATCGTCTTCAGTGCGACCGCCGGCCGACACAGTTTGCCGGTACTGAGCCATTTGCGACTCTTCGGCAGTCAGGAAATAGCTGCCAGTCGACTCGGGAAAGTTGGGAATGAACCAAAAGCTTGCCAGACCAATAACGATGCTGACGATACCTACAGCTGTGTTAGTGAAAGGAGAGTCTCGCCATATATCCATAAAACTGACCCTCGAGGAGCAAAAACCACTGCCATGCTGATAGTCCGGCTATGCCATTCATATTGCGGAGGACTCCAGCAGCCAGAAGGCCAGAAACAGCCTGCGATATTGTGTTTCCGGCGTGCCAAATACCCATGCGGAGCGGAGACTCATGCTTCGTGTACCAAGACGACGTCAATAAAGACACCGCTGGCACGAAAGGGCCTTCAGTCAGGCCTACTACAAAGCGACACAGGAGAAAGCCCCAACCGGCAGTGACAGCAGGCATACATAAAGTGGTAATGGACCACCCAAGCATACAGCACGGAAGCAAGATTCGTGGCTTTCCCTTCGCGATGATGACATTTGCGGGAACCTGTGAAATGATGTATCCCACATAGAAAAGCGAGATACCGGCAGACCACATCGTATCTGACATGTGTAAGTCATCTTGCATGCCGGCAAGTCGTGCGTTCGAGACGTTGATGCGGTCTAGATAACTGAACATAGAGAGTCAACAACTGAAGGGGTACATCATTGACGGAACATAAGAGAACCAAGTGGGGGAGTTCGAGACTCACTTCATCATAAGCATGGCACACACCATTGGGAGAAACTTCCAATCGAGACGTTTGCGAACAGCTCTATCGAGTGCTTTGAGCTCCTCCGGGCTTTTGTCTCTTATGAGGTCGTATGGCTCCAGTAGAGGGTCGCGGGTAGGAGCGTTTTCTTCCCACTCAATCCCGACTTTGACATCGACTGAGCCGCTTTTAGAGCGAGGAGGAGTTGCCATGGTAGTTGGAGACTGTCTGGTCCAGAAGAATAGTGCGCGATAAGAAGAATTCAGAAATGGTATCTGACGAGAAGATTCCACATCTTTTGTACTCTTGCGACAGAATGGCCTTGGGGTATTGCTCAATTGAGAAACAGCATTTTGCGACAACAATTTCATAGCCAAACAAGCGTTCAAATTCCCCGCATTGGAGCCCAGTTTCCCCGCGAATTGATTGTGGATGTGTTGCGGGTTGTCTGGGGTTAGTCCAGTCTCTGCCACTACCGGAGCGTGTCCGATGATTGACGACCTTCCCCGGACTGGGTCCGGTCGGCATCAGATCTTGTGACCGGCCAAGTTCTTCGAGGTAGGAATTGTGCCTAGACTAGTGATAGCGATTGCTCAACTATTTTACTTCACTGACGGGAATCGCCGCGCTGACTTCTAGGCTGAGGCGTACTTCCGTACCTGTTTCTTACAATTATCCACCACATACTACTGATCAGGCACCCCGGCTGAACTGACTTGTCGATTAGTATCTGTCACGCGTAACAAAGTAAATCATTGTACAGTGCACTACGCTCATGTGTTATCCCGCTGTATCCGACTCTGTCCGTAGTTATACATGATTTACTACAAACATCTATGCAGACTTAGCGGAGCAGCAGTAGACGAGGTTTAGGGATACTTCCGAGAAGTATAGCCCACAGTGTTGCGCCCCCCCCCCCCCTCTCCTCTGCTTAACTAAGCCTTAACACACTACTCATGTAGCCACCTGTAATCCTCTACGTGAAGGTAAATCGAATGAGTCGTTGAGATCGACGTGGAATAATATCTGGGAAATGGTTCCACGAGACGGTCTTTGAAAGGTTAGCCAAGCCACATTTGCAGAGAATCGAAAAACATCGAAACCGTCTCACATTAGATGTTGTTTCATCAGTTTCCATATTCCTGGTGGAAAGGCTTAGTAAGACCTGTTGAAATGCTGCAAGTGCAGGAAATCGTGATGCGGCGATCGTCACAAGCGTCGAGGCTTTGCTAATGACTTCTGTCACTTCGGCGAGTCGACGCGCGGCAAAGTCATTTTGACTTTTTCGACGGGCGAGGCATACAAAAGCGACCGCAGCTTGAAAGATGTCATATGCATCAATGAAGCTGCAAACAAAACTTCCCTTAATAAACAGATCGTAAGATCGGTTGATAAACTGATATGATGTGTTAATGGTATCAGTCTCAAGATCTTGGTTGTTTCCTAGCCAAAATTCATTTCGCACGATTGTTTGAGGCGTCAAAGATGCAAGATGAATCAATGCCCGACAAGATAGCTGTTCAAAAAGATACAGAAGATGCGGAGCAGAAGGCGATTGACGATCAACGTTGGGAGGTAGATCTCTCCAATGAACGATATTACTGTAGGTAAGTAGAATGTCCTCTCGTCTTCCTGACCGGATACTTGAAACCAGTTGAGAGTAGAGTACAAGATAGCGAATGGTTTGCGATATTTGATGCGGCGTCTCCGTTGTAATGGATAGGCCATCGTCTTCCGCTGGGAGCTGAAGCATTTATGTCAACTTTGGATCGACGGACTAAATGCCTACGTGGTGCCTTCAACTTACTTGTACCGAAATGTAATCATCCTGGATGCTCAAAGGGCGGTCCATGACAAGGCTGAGCATGCTAGGGCAGAGTTCAGTATTGGAGATTCTAAGTTGATCACGGACACAATTATGGCATACCGGTCAAAGGAGTACACGGCCCAAAACAACCATCGCCGTCTGTCAGCTTCAGGTAGCCCAATGCTCGAGTTCACGTCTGGCTCTCGGTGCAGATCGAGCGAGATACATGTTTTCATAGCCAGACCTAATAAATGCCAGGCAGAGCCACCGGAGGAGTTATAAAGAGAGTAGATGGTAAGCATGATCATGCAGTGTATGTGCTCAAGGGTCGATTCGGTGCGCAAGATGGAAGGAAGTTCGCCGAGGGCGGCAGAGTGAAGGCTTGCGTTAAGAAATGAAAGGTGAGTAGAAGTCGGAGAGAGCGAAATTCCAATAGCGCAAGCCATGTGAAGATTGAAAACATGTAATGGCGGAGGGCTCTGTGCAGCATGGCAGTCAGTTCTACATGCCATAACATCCTCACATTGCCGGAGATAAATGTCCTTGTCGATGTATGGCATAATGATTGGCCATTCCAGGAATTTCCGGACATGCTCAAGCGTTAGATCCCGGCTCTCTGAACTGAGGCGACTGTTCATATCAGGAGTTTGAGGTGCCGGCATAGCTGTGGATGGGTCGCGTCCATCAATAGCCAAGGCCCCGGAGATCACCTCTGCTAAGGAAAACTTCCTGGGTAGATCATCGGAATTATCTCGGGGCTCGGCCATTGCATTTCGTGATAAGAAGCCGATTGCCCCCATTGTGGCTCTCACAGAAGAATCTTCGGTGCCATGTCTATTGATGTTGACAGTGTCGAGCGCACGGCTTGAGGTTATCGAGATAGCATCTCGAGGTGTCGTAAGACTGTCATCCATTGGAGAAGAGCCATGACATGATTCAGCGCGACCGCTGTGCGTACGCGACCGTTTTCGATGAAGCGATTGTTCTTCCATATTAGCGATCCGTCTTTTCAATGACGACACGTAACTTAGACTTATCAGCAAGCGTATCATCGGGCAGAAGACTAGGTTATATTATTACCCAATGACTGAAGTGTGAGAGAGCTCAGATACTGTGTTGAAATCTTGGTTCCGTGGGATACACTCGGCCCCTAACCCACTGCACGAGGTGCATGCCGGCAGACGTCGGTCGCACTGATGGCTGTCAGCTAATACTGATTTGTATGGCATCTGAACATCTGGATTCTAACTTTTTGTTTCCTCTTCCAACATCTTTCGCAAGCTTGTGGGCGAGTTACCGTGGATGTTAAGGGCGGCTCAGGTGTTCCCCTTAAGTTCGGAGCCTCTTGCGCATCTGCAGACGAAGTCGAACTCATAACCCCACTAACTATTTTCTCATATTAAATGGTTCAAAGTCCGCAATGAGCCAGGTAGTGGAAGTGGGCGGTCGGGAACAAATGGCCGTCTTCGAGTTGGCATGATATGTGAGGTGGAAGCTGCAGGCTCAGAGTCTCGCACCTCCGACTGTTTGCCGACGTTGCGGGGTTTGACCCCTAAGCCTCCGTGGGGAAGACTGTGGAGGATCTGGTTGGGCCACCCCCACATCTCATAGAGATGGACCACAGTTAGAGTCACCGGGGTTAATAAAGAAGCTACCATGCGATCTGATCAGTTATTGCCAGATTCGAAGCATTAATAAGTGACGGTCAGGGTTTCAAGATACAACGTGGCAAGTAGGAGATCTACCCTCAATTCCACGTATATTTTATGTTTGCCAAACGGCAGTATTTCCTCTCGTAAGAGAGATACTGGTTGTGATGAGATCTATGATTTGCCATTTGTATGGGCAGTTGCCCTGATACTGAGGCTAGACATCTCCGCCGCTCTCTTCGCGGCACCGGCAATAAGCAAGGGGCCATCCGTTGCAGCCATGACCCAGCGCGCACCCATTTGACAAAACTTTTCCACAAGATCCATACGTGAGTGAAGACCTCCCACGCCAACCCACTTTCCGTGCTTATTGCAGGCAGCGATCGTCCGCTCATAGGCTTCTGTGAGCCTAGGGTTTTCGTAGTCGCCAGGGATACCCATCTCAGCCGTCAGATCGTTGGTACCGATAAGTAGAGAGTCCACTCCTTCAACTGCTGCAATCTCGTCGACTAGCTCTAGTGCCTCAAGAGTCTCGATCATTGGTATAACCAAAGTAGCGTCATTTGTGATGGGATTGGAGACCTTGGCAGGAATCGTACGGAACTGATAATGAGGCAGTCCGTTGGTTGATGATCGTGTGCCGATAGGTTGGAACTTGGCAGCCGCAACAACGTCTCGTGCGTCTTGCACACTGCGAATATGCGGCACAATAACACCAAGGGCACCACCGTCTAGGATCCTTGAGACAAAAAAGGGGTCCTTGCTGGGCGCTCGTACTATTGGCGAGATCCCGGCGTACAGCGCGGCAATGCACAGTTGAGAGGTCGTCTCGAGATCGAATGAGGAATGCTCCATATCGACGAGGATCCCGTCAAATCCTGCTGTCTTAGCCATCATGGGAAGTTCTACCGACTTGACTAGTTTGACGCTCAGAGTCGATGCAACCTCATCGCGGAGGAGTTTCTCCTTGAATGAGTGGGGAATAGAAACGGCCATTTCGGTTGAGAGTGGGAATGTTGAGTGTTGAGGACTATGATTGATTGATTTGCAGTGTGAAAGAATTCTTGGAGCACATGTGACAAAGGTATTGTTATATGGCTTTCCAGTTCTTGTTCGTGGACGGATGCCCGGAGTCATGCCGAGGATTTCCATAACCTCTTCGGCGCTTCCGCAAGCTTTTCGGCCCTCCGATCCCATGTTCAAATCCAATCATTACCGAAACTCTTGGCCGGTCGTATGGCAAGTGTCTATAGTGTTGTTCCTCCACAAGATTGCGGCCGACATATGGAGGCACCGGGGGCCGTCCGATAACCTCGGACCACCTCCGGATGGGTGTACAGGGCATGTATGGTGACTGATCTTCGTTGCCACCGTGTGGTCATTGACTCCGATATCCTGTTGTGTATTTTATGAATCAAATCGCAGTACTCCACATGTTCATACATTTCCATATACAACGAACTTCAGACGATGCTCCAAGATCACGAATCGAGAACGTCACAGACTCATCTTCAATCACCGCCGACTGTTGTTTCTCACTACGATCAATAAATTTGTCAATATGACTCCAGGGCTCGTATCTGATCAATCTGAAAGCGTTCTTCTCGGTACTAAGCCAACCGTGTATGTCTTGGATTCATTTCAGCCTGAGATCATCGACTTCTGCAAACAAAACTTCAACGCAATCCTACCTGGACAGTCCGAACATGCCAACTGGAAGGAAAACTCTCGTTTTCTTCTTGTGCGGAACTCGCGTCTCACAGCTGAGGATATCGCTGCTTGCCCGCATCTCCTTGCAATAGGGAAGCAGGGTGTCGGAATTGACAAGATCGATGCTGAGGCCTGCTCTAGACGTGGCATCAAAATCTTCAACACACCCGGCGTCAATGCGCGAGCTGTGGCCGAACTTGTTCTGGCTTTAACGACAGCCGTAGCAAGACAAGTTGGAAGCATTACACGGAAACAAACTTCTGGTATTCTTGTACCCAAGGAGAAGTGCTCGGGTATCATTTTGCACCGAAAGACGATTGGCGTACTCGGCATGGGCAACATTGGAAAGGCTGTTGCCCAGATTTTCCGCGGAGCGTTCGAAGCTGACGTTGTGGCTTACGACCCTTATTTGCCTAATGAGGCCTGGTCTGATATTCCTCATCGCCGAGCCCAGACGGTTTCGGATCTGTTATCAGTTTCCGACGTGGTGACGGTCCATATGCCGTTGACATCCACCACTAGAGATCTCATGGGGTACAAGCAGTTCAAAATCATGAAGAGAACAGCCATAGTCATCAACACAGCTCGAGGAGGCATCATCAACGAGTGTGAATTGGAGCAAGCCTTGTCAGAAGGCCTCATCTGGGGCGCTGGTCTAGACTGTCACGAGGAGGAACCCCCTAGCAGGGAGAAATACGGATCGTTGTGGGACGTTGGTGCCGTTAGTACGCCGCACATTGGGGCAGCGACTAGAGAGACTCAAGTCCAAACGGGCATGGCAGCAGCTACTAAGCTGTTTGAATACGCGAGGAGTAGGGCGTAGATGGGAAGCAGCGCTGAATCAAACTTGAGGTTCTTTCATTCCTGCGGGACTTGAGATCTTGATTAGTCGGCAGCCAATACGTTCAGAGCCTGATTACAATATACTGCCTGATTGCAATGTACTGCCTACCTGCTAAATCATCGCTGAGATTTACTGTAAGCCGTATGTATCATTGAAACTCAAACGCATCCAACGCTCCAATGTGCCTCTCTGGATCACCATACACATATTCCCCCAAGGCGGATTCCATATTCCATAGTGCCTCGTCTCCTAAAAGCGCCCAGTCCATGAAACCGCTTCCCGGGGAAAAAGTGGCTGTGGCTGGTATTGACCCACACGTGTTTCTCGAACCGTGGGATAATGTTATAGGATTGCCCACCATGGCTCTCTCAACGGCAGGCACAAACGAAAGGTTGCTCGGAATGCTTCCTGGAAAGTTTGTTTCTTGAACTCTGGTATCAAGATTCGTACTCAGGGCACTGGGTCCTGAGACGCACTGCGAACCAAGAATCGAAGATCCTGAGGCTACCAGAGGTTCAGAGAATCTTTCTGATGATTGCCGAATCCCGGCTCTCGTGTATTCCAGTGTTTTGCCTTGAGATAGGACGTCAGATTGTAAGTTCTCGAGAACTTTGTCTAGTTTTCGAGTGGTGTTTCGTCGAAGAGCTTCAAAGACGGCAACATATTGTTTGGCACTTGGTAACTGCTCCGCCATGTTCTTTAGTGTCTCTTCACACCGAATCAGTCCGGCTGAAGCATCCGAAAGACCTTCTTTGTCTATTTTCGTTGCGGTAGAAACACAAAACAGCACCGAAAGACCAGCGGTAAACATCATGTGAAAATAGCTGCGGGTATGTGTGGTGAGTGGTCGCTGTTGGCACAGTCTTGAGTAAGCCCAAATCGTTCGAAGTGCAATCCTGAGGCATAGGACGGAAATATGATGGGGCGTCTTCCCGCCTCGTTTGGGCATAAGATCAATGGCTCGTCGGACTAGGTAAAGTTGCTCCCTAGCTAGCAAGAGATCATACCAGTCCTGCGACTCATACAGACATTTGGGCTGCTGGAATGCCGGGCAATTATCTCTCCAGTGCTGTAGGTCTTGCATCAAGCAGCTGAGAGTTTGAAATATATGACCAGGAGCCAGATGACTCTTGGAAGGTTGGAGGTAGTTGCAGGCAAGTCTAGAAAATTCGGAGTGGATTCTGGAAGAGATTTGCCGCAAACGCACGGAGATGAAGAAAACGGTCATCTCGGTCGTGTCCAGGGTGGCGTGAGATGATCGAAAATCCTCAAAATTGCTTGAAATTTGATTAGCAGTGACAATTTCCTCGTCATTTGCATCCGCCGGAAAGCCGACTTCAATATCGCGATCATCGATACTAAATGGTTTTCCCAGGACCGTAGAGCTATATCTGTCAATCATGTAGACTTGCCAGAAAACTCGTCGCTTCATTTGAACTTGCATGAAGTTCATAGAGTCGTTATCGTTGTGGTGCAATCCTTGTTCGATGCACAGACGACCACACAGCCGAACGACATCCCAAATGGACGTGCCTTTTCACAATGAGCGCTCGTAATTCATTCGTCAAAATTCGAACCAGACATACCTATCCGATGATAGATACCAAAGCGGCATATTAAGAGCAGGTCTTGGATTGAGGCTAGGCCTCGTGTAAGAAAGTCTGGCCCCATACGTTGCAAGGCAGCGAGATAGTATCCTTCGGGGTGCTGGTCGTGGGTGCCATTCAGGAATGGAAGCACTGAACCGATTGCAAGGATCATACATGCGCGAAAAAGATCGTGATTTGAAGCAGGTTGGCCGGCCGATTCGTGTGAGAAGACCCGGCCACAGAGACTCTTGACCTCGTCTCGGCGAAGAAAAGGACTTTGCACGTGAGACCAACTCAGACTATGCAAAATTGTCACAACAATGGTTCGATGGGTGCTTGGAGATGAAATCTTGCTATTTATCGAACAGAGCCTTGCCTTCTTCGTCTGGAGGAGGACCGCAAGGTTGAAGAATAGGTTCAGAGGCGCTAGGAACTCTCGCCAACAGTTGTAGTAATTCGGTGTTGTTTCTTCTCAAGTCTGGATCTGCGAAGAGAGAAGCCATGAATCTATTTGAATCTTAGTCATATTACTGTGCAGGCGCCATAGTCAATTGCGAACTCACCCGAGTCCCTCTCCGTGTGAGACAGTTGAGTTCTCGATCGAGATGACAGTTGGACCAGTCTCTGCGGCAGGCTGGTTCGCATCGTCACACGATTGGACCTCATCGGCGGGCAAGGTGTCCACATCTTGAGTCAACTGTCTTTCAAGCTGTTCTAATCGATCTATTTCTCTACGCGAATTCGTCAGCTCCCCAAGTATTTAACACTCAAATGTAGCGAGGTACATCAACGCCTACGCTCGTGAAAGTGTTCTGTCACCACCAGAATTGAGCACAACACAGTCGCTGCCAGTTTTCGAACACGGAGTACATGTTGGCCTGGTGCTGTCACACTGGGCAATACATATTAGCCCCCCGCTTACGTTCTTGAAGTCGACAGCGGCACATACTTTGATTTTCTTCTGATAACATAAGTGGCAGGCTGGGAGCCGGGGTAGTCGATCTGCTGCGGAGCTCATTCTTCGAGCCGAGCTGTCAAGTCAAGGAATGCTTTCAAGAATAATGCGCAGATTGCAGCTGGTGTAACCCATGTGTTAAGCGATCGATATTGATTGTGACACGATTTTCGGAGTGGCTCCGACGGTGCGTTTGAAGATGGGCAAATCGGCTTTGGCTCGGCTACTTTGGTCACGATTGTAAAGTGAGGGGTTGACCCCTCCCTGTAATGGGTCGGAATCACTCCGAGCAAGTTGCTTTGCGCGGACCTCCGAATCTTACTGACTCCGCCGTCTCGAGTGACTTTCTTTTCTGCAATAAAATTGCTAATAGCACCTGTAAACGAATGCAAAAATCTAACGTCATTGGCATATCTACTATCGCTTAAGGCTTGGCTGCGGTCGTGCGCCTCGACAATGCCAGTCGAGCTTTTGAATATTCCCCTCCAAGCTGTCTGTGATAAAGAGGGTCTTATTTTCTGGACCACCAAAGCAGCAGTTCGTCAAGTTGATGCCGGATGTTCCACTCACGATGCGTGCCTTGGGGATCCCATTGGAATCAACCACAAATACGGACCCCAAACTTGGATGACAGATGAAAAGACTGCCTTCTTCATCGATCGCCAGGCCGTCTGGGCCAGCGTTTCCAAATGACTGGAAAAAGACGCCAGCTTTGGTTGTTGTTCCATCGGGATGAAGAGGAAGCCTCCAGACCTGGTTGGATCTCGTCATGGCGACGAATAAGAACCTTTCATCAGGGGAGAGAACCAGTCCATTTGGGGATACTCCATTTTCTACAAGTGTCTCCAGCTTTCCGTCAGGTAAAAGCCGGTAGACTTTGCCAGTTGGATCTGTCATGCCGGTTTGACCTTGGTCGGTGAAGTAGATGCTTCCTTTTGAATCGACAATCAAGTCATTTGGGCCTTTGAATCGCTCCAAGTGACGCCGGGTGATTAACGGTTTGATCTTCCGATCAGAAGGATCGAAGGAGAGTATTCCCTAAGCACAACCGTTTCGGTGAGGCCGAGATCCCAGGAGTAATACCGCGGTTTGGATCTACGAACCTGCTTGTAGTCGGCAATAACCAGTCGACCATCGTCAGTTGCCGCAAGCCCATTAGGCTCGCCGTCCCATTCTGCAACAACACTTATAGTCTTTTTTGGGTCAATCTTGAGGATTCGTCCGTAGGGAATGTCCACTATGTGAAGGTTGCCAAGATCATCGACGATTGGGCCCTCAAGGAAGATGTGTTGAAATGGGCGCGCAAAGCCACCTCGCCACTCAGTTTCTTTGCCATGGCAACGAAGCTCATCTGGAACTCGAATGTAGAGTTCAGCTTGTATGATCGGAGGTACCGGGTAAAAGTTCATTGCGTGCAGTAACGTAGACGATTATTGTTCAATTGGCGATAATGAAACTCAAGAAGACGGTGCAAAAAGTCAAGGAAGCATGCTAACCTTGAAAGAAGCGGGCATGCTATCATCGCTGTTCTCTTTGGTGCTTCGCGAGGTTTATGCGACCATGCAATCGACCTGGACGGAAATCATCCGGTGGTCCTGGTGTCGTCGGACTGAGCCCGGACCTAACTTTCGGTGTGTGTCCGGGTGGTGTTTAGAACGGTTACGTTAGTGCTCCACTGCTCTACGCACATCTTCCCCGAATTCTGGGGTTTAGCAGCTTACGGGGTCCGGGGAAAGCTAACGGAGCATGCCGTGAGTAAGAGAGAATATTATTTCAGTCAGGACCGTCCTTGCCAGCATTTTGAAGATGACAACTTGTTACGTGTAGGAATCGATCCCCACGGAGGATGTTATTTCTGCAAGCTTCTTACAATGTCTCTCATCAAGGCCACAACTGCAGCCATACGGGACAGTCCCAGAGAGATCTTCAACCGCTATTTGTTTATATGCACCTGGATATGGAGCTTCTCAGGGGTGGCGAAAGGTTTTGACGAGGGCAAGTCACATTATTTGACTACTGTTATTCTCATAGAATACTTGCTAATGAATATCTTTCGTAGGTAATATTGCATCTGCAGTAACCATGGCCGTCTTCAAAACCAGATTTGGGATCGATGGCCAGTCCGAGAGCGAGTACTCAAATACCAAAGGCTGGATCGTGGCTATCGCAACGGCTGGTGCTGTTTTTGGTTGCTTGGCTTGCGTAAACCTTACTGAGAAGTTGGGCCGCAAACGAACGATGCAGATCTTTACATTGATTTATGTTGCTGGCATTCTCGGGCAGACTTTCTGTTCTGGAAATATGGCGGGACTTTATATTTCTAGAATCATCGCTGGTATGGGTATTGGTGCTACAACTGTGCTGCCTCCAGTGTACATCTCCGAGGTGAGGATGAGGTCTCCTATGAAGAACGATGACGGCAAAGATTGACTCGCGTTGTAGATTGCACCTCGATCGATCCGCGGTCTTTTGACTCTACAGTACACATGTTGTCAGCAACTTGGCGTTGTATTCGGCTTCTTCTTCAATTACGGCATCACGAAACACTACGCAGGGAACCAAATCCAATGGCAATTACCGACTGCCCTTCAAGTTGCACCGGCGATTGTCTGGGGCCTGGGAACATTCTTCACGCCCGAGTCTCCCCGTTTTCTGCTCTCTTGTGGAAAACCAACAGAGGCTCTCAAGGTCCTCTGTGACTTCCGTTGTCTGCCAGCCGATCATCCATATGTTGACGATGAGTTTCGCGCGATGCAAGCACAGTTGGAACACGAATTGGAGATTGTGTCAGGCGCTTCGGTTTTCGATCTTGCTAAAGAGACGTGGACCGATATGCCAAATAGACGACGATTTGTATTGATGTTTCTAGCGCATTTGTTTTCTCAGTGGAGCGGAGCCAATGCCATGTAAGTGCAACGATCCCTACAGCGACAATACCCCTCTGACTTATGGCCCGTTTCAGCACGCAGTACAGTCCGTCCATCTTTGGGTATCTGGGGATACAGGGTGAAGAGGGTCGTCTTCTTGCTACCGGAGTCTATGCCATTGTCAAGTTTGTTTCAGTCTTAATATTCTCGGTCTTCGTTATCGACTTCATCGGCAGAAGGCGATCTCTTCTCACCGGAATCTGTCTCCAGATTACCACGCTTCTGTTCGTTGGTATTTACCTCAAGATCACCAATGGACGTGACCCAGAAGACATTTCTGCAGATCCAACAGCGCGACGAGCAAGCGAAGCTGCCATCGCGGCCATTTACTTGCATGCAATCGCATGGTCTATAGGATGGTTTTCCATCCCATACCTCGTCAGCGCAGAAGTTTTCCCCATTAGAATCAGATCTCTGTGCGTATCTGTTCTCATGGCCTTTCACTGGGCCTTCTACTTTGGCTGCTCGCGAGCTATGCCATCCCTTCTAGCCGCTACAGAACGCTATGGCGCGTTCATATTCTTTGCGAGCATCTGTTCTGTCTCACTCGTGTACGTTTATCTTGCCATGCCGGAAACCTCTGGGAGATCCTTAGAGTCAATGGAGAACCTGTTCAACCGGCCTTGGTACACCGTCTACAAGGTTGCGTATCCAAAGGCTGAAGATCTTGCAGCTCGCCCGGTGGTGAGACAAGACAACGACAAAGGGGAAGGAGGGAAAGAAGAAGAGAATGGTGCGGCTATGCACCTGGCTTAAGACTTGATTGCCTATTATAGTATAGATTCTATGAGCGACAGTTTGGTTTCTGAAGCTTTCGGGATGACTTGACGTGTACGCTGCCCTGTCTTGCTAAACTTGCCTTCAAGTCTTGGCACAGACACCTTTGAGACGGTGATAGCTGTTTTGTTTGAGCTTCGAATCTGTGTACCAAATAATCAAAAAGTCCAGAAAATTTGGCGTTTGAGAGGATCCGGCCTCGCCTGTGTTCGTAAAAGTCTTCTTGGGTAATGACTCTGTTCGGGAATCTTACCCGAATTTTCTGTCTTGTCATTCTTTCTGACAAGGAAAGTCTGAGCTTAGGGGGCAAGGTGGGATACTTTGGGGATCTCTGAGTCTAAAAGCATTGGGCGCCAGGCGTCTTCTCAAGATCTATGCCCTACCTTCTTACCTTCCTAGTCCAGCAGTGACGCAACACAGGCTTTTGTCAAAAGTAACTTGAAAATAGAAGATGGAACGATCGGAGCTAAATAACCACAGATCGACCGAGGACTTTCCGCGGCTCTGCGGCTTGCTCCGGACTGTCGCGACACTGACGGAATTGGAATCCTACGCTGCCCAGAACTCGTCCGAGACTAGATGTGACGGACTTTGGCTTTGTCCATTCCTGCCTTAGCATAGGGCGGAGTCAGCGGCTTTATTCGTCCCACACATTGCAGTGCCTATCTTTTTTAGCCATCATCGCGATGATGCTCTTGATCATATAAGCCCATCGCATCCTGGACGGGTGCCGACGGACTCCATGTCTGGGCTCCAAACCTTGTAGACCGGACGACTCCAGCTGTTCCCCCGTGGCCCCTGCTTCCTCTTGTACGCCAACCTGAGTGGCTAGGACATATTCCCAAAGCAACCGTAGAACACGCATCACGCGTCAGTCTGGTTTCAAACGCCGTATACGATCAGCTACAGCTGACCAATATCGCTGGTCGGTCAAGTTGGGGGATTCCGACAATCGTTGGCAGAGTCAGCAAACTCCTGCTGCCTGGTCGTATAAAGTCGACGTGTCTTGTGTTCACGCTGAGTTGATGAGTAGTTAGTGGTGTTAATGAACTTGTGTCACTGTTAGTAAGATGGACTTTTTGAAGACGAATCCTGTTTATCTCGGTGGTGCGCTCGTATGCATCGCACTGGCTGCGGTACGTTTCCAACTCACCGGGCTTCTCACTGATGTATCTAAAAGTACCTACCACTGACAAATGGCTTGCTAGTACGTCTATGCCGGGCTCACAAACCCCTTGTCGAATATTCCTGGGCCGTGGTACACCAGGTTCACAACACTGCCATCGACATTCAAGGTCATCACAGCACACCACCCCGATTGGATCCATGATCTACACGCCAAGTACGGGCCGGTGGTGC